ACATGAAAACCTTTCGCTGTACGATGAACAAATGAACAGTATTGCGAAGGCATCTGAAAAAAAAAAAAACTTATTTTCTTTTTACTTTTATATTGATAAATGAATGCTGAGAGAACTTTATCATTATCGGCTTCTTATTACATGCATATTAGTTCCATCAATCCTCACGCATTCACATCGACTTATATTGTGCATTTCTACATTAGCATTGCCGGTTTCTTCACATTTATTAGTCGTGGGGATCAGCACGCATCCAGATCTTCTCACACAAAAAAAGTACCAATTTGCTACCAAAACGAATCCCAAAAAAAACCGTAAATTTTGAATCAAAAAACGAATCAAAAAAAACCGTAAATTTTGCTACCAAAACTTTTGTTGGTAAAAAGAAATCGTAAGTGGCTAAGCCAAAAAACAGTAACTAATTTACTTAGAATTCATCCAAAACTTACGGCAAGTTGTCGGGCGATAACATCCAGACGAACAGCCCTTTGGTCAACCCATCTATCAAACAGAGACTGTCCACTCGGCGACAACATCCCTCGATGATTGATGAAAAAATCGTTCGTCATGAAGTACGCATCCTTGCCAAGTTCCATAACAGCCAGCATCACAAAGAGATCATCATTACTCCTTAAATTCAAATGCACTGATACCATGTTACTACTGCACAAGGTATATTCATAGCGTAGCATGACATAGCGGGAAACGGGGCGGGGAGGGGAGGGGAAGGGGGACGGAATGATTGAATAAAAAAAAGCTCCCCCAACTAAACTGAAAAATGTTAAAAACTTTCCAGATAGAGGGAGGGAAGCAAGCAGCAGGAAAAAAATAAGTGACGGAGAAACTGACTGGACAAGAGAGACGAGGCTAGGTGGATGTTAAAATCACAAGTCGATCCAAGTGCGGCGGGGGAGAAGGACGAAGGGTCTTCCACCTCCTTCCCCCTCCCCTCTTCTTCCCCCCAGCGGCACAGGCATCAGCGTTGCAAAAGTCCGAATTTATTCGTAAATAAAACTAAACTAATTCTAAGCAGCAGTGTTCCAACTCTATTCCTAGTTTTTTGCAAATTTCCAGGATGGAAGGGGCTCTCCCTCACCCCCGCCATCTCACTTCCCTCTCCGCCCTTTCCAGGAGTATGTCCTGGATCCGCCTGTAGTTG